TTGCCAAGGCGAATATTAAGCTGGATTTCTTCCAGGCATGCAATCGCACTTAGGAAAAACTGTCAGTTTATGGGTTTGATTATATATTCCATACATCTCTCCTGACATTAAGAACTAGAGACTTACTAATCTTACCCATTTGGGAAGCCCTGCAGGATTCAGCAGCACATTCGTTAATTCATCATTTCTGATGAGTTACATTTATCACAGCCACTCAGCAGCGCCTCCCCTTCAGAGACCAGAGGAGATGCACCTTCAGGCTCCGCTTTAGCTCACGCTGGTATCAGTCCTACTCCACTATAGCCCTACACCCTCAATTCTCTCCTTTGGCCTGAGCCCCGGCAGCCTTCGATTCAGAAGTACCTACAAGGCAGTGAATTGGAGTGTGCAAGGCAGGCACATGCCAAGTGGAATTCGGAGGGTTTTAGTCCAGTCATTAGACACTACGGGGTGTGCAATTCCTGGTGGCACAGATCCTGACTAGGCTGCAACCAGGGGTCCAGGAGAAAAAACACTCCCTATCCCATTCCCATCTTCAAACGCGCTCACTGAGGACATCATTGCATTGCTTTTCAGCGTCTCACTTCCTGCTTCCCTCTAGGAGGCTAATCCTGTAGGGAATACAACATAACACTTGCCCCAGTGACGTTCTGACCTCAGAAGCCTTTAGTCTCCTTGTTCAAGTGCTCCTTTTTATTCAGTATTTATTCATCCACCTCCTCCAAGCACTCTGTCAAAGTGCTAGCACGCCGCAGGTCCGGCATTCTTCACGTTTCACTAACCAGAGCAAAAACCGGAGAGCGCTGGCGCCTGTCAGCCTCCCTCTTGCACCACTTTCAGGGTGTTTTATTTGTCAATGAAGCTCATTTATTAAAACGTACATATTTGCAGTGTGATATCTTACCCCACGGCTCAGGGCAGCGCGTGCACTCGGCTATAGCTACGCTCTCACTAGCCACATCTGTGTGTTTCTGGGTGTTGCGGACAACAGGACCTGGAATCGTCTCTGCCCTCCCAGAGCTGGCAGCCGGAGCTCACGTCTGCAGTTATACAAGCAAGTGCACTACAGCCTGCGGGAAGGGAGGGTTCCTGAACATTTCTTAATATCATCCTCTTCCCTCACCTGTAGCAAGCACAGAAGGCCTCTTGCCACTGGCCCAGTTCGCTTAGCTGGATCCAAGTGGCACAGGTGCACCGCAGGTGGCTCCAGCCTGCGACCCGGCCCCCCTTTCTGAGCACAATCAGTGCGAGAAGGAAAATCATATATGGAATCCCAAGGGCTTCTCCATATCTGCCAGTCCTCACCTTTAATCAATCAAGGAGGGAAAAGTCCTTGTCAGGACCTAAGAAAAGCCGTGCTGCACTGGCTCAGGCTTGGGAAGACCTTATCACTGACAACAAAAGGAGCAAACCCCGCTTCTTCCTGGCCCTGTGCTCCCCAGAGCAGGCACCAGCCTCTGCCTTCTTACCTCATGTCACATCCTACCCATGTTCTGGACTCTGCCCATCTTTCTGGTTAATCCCAAAGCACTGGATACCTTTTAACACTATGCAACCAAGCATCTGTCCTAACATGACGCACACTGCATTCCCCAGTTTGAAGATGGGCTCGCTGGGTTGGAGACCAAATCTTCCGCATTTTGCAAAATGCCACCTTGCCCTTATGTACCCCATAAGTGGCCCACAAAGTGGTTATGTATGGTAGCATTTGTCCTACTGACCCCTTGGCAATTGGACTAATCCCAGATTAACCAAAGTGGACGCAGGTAGCTTGGCATTAAAGTAGCTCTGAGGATGCTTGCAAGTGAGTTGTTTCCCACTGTGTGTGTCATAGACTCTGCCCTTGCTCAAGTGGATTGTGGACCAAGGGTCAGTGTTGAAGGGAAGGGCTTGGATCGGTATTTTGTGAACTGGGGTGCACTGACCCCCAGACGCTCCCAGGTGGCTAGGAGAATGCTTGCCTGAGCAGATGCATCTTGCTTCTCTCTGCAGACGCCCATTATCACTGCCGTGGGGCATGGAGGTCGTCAGCACAGCTGCAGATAAGAAAGGTGGGTCCATGAGACACTCGCTCCTCAGAGGCGGTTCAGGCTGCAAGAGTTTGGGAGCTTCTGGCACAGATAAGAGCATCTTCCTTTTCAGACACTAGCTCAGCTGGGTGCCCCAAAGCAAGGAGAAAGCATGGACTGTGTGCTGGAAAGTGGAGGCCAGTTTATGTAAAACATGCTGAAGGAAAGCTCCTCCAGCCCTAGCTATGTCTGGTCACAAAGAGCATTGCACATCATTCCTCTGTTGCAGACTGTAGCAAAGGAGGCTAACTGCAAACAAGATGATAAATTAAATGCTTTCCCATGCAGAGGTCACCTTCCAAAACGTGAGCAGTTCCATGCCCTGCACTTGCACACGTATGTTACCCTGGGTTATTATTTATAAGCAAGAAGATTTGAGTCACTTTTTCAAAATTTTTTGCATGTAAAACTCAAAGACAAGGCGGCTGTGGAATTACTCAGCTGTTCCTACATACAGAAAAACCTTTCAGTGGTAGAGGTTTAATTCAACTTCATACCAAGACAAGTGAATACAACCTTTATGCAGTTATTAACCACGAGCCCCTGCATTAAGCTGTGGGCGTCCACTTCTAGCAGTTAACAGACTGGAGCCCTGGAGGCATCATCCTGGCTACCCAAGACTATCATTATAGCAATTACTTGACATTCTTTTCCTGGAATGGACTCTTTTAACCAAATCCAAAAGCGCAACGGTTCCCTGGCTCTGCAAAAGTCTACAGACCATGATTTTCTCCTGGATATTTGATACAGAGCAAAACTGCGTTGCCTTCATTTCAGTGCATTAATGGTCTTAAAATGAGGACTGCAACAGAAGAAGTTTCTGCCTGACACTTCAGTGAAAAGACAACCTCCTCTGGAGACCTAGCTATACATATGCAAATAGTCAAGAGTCTGACCAAGTGACACGCAAAAAAGGTTCAAAGGGCTCCTTTGAAGTGCTCGGAAAATAATGACATGGCTAGACCAAGGGGCCTTTATTAAATTTTGTATGTAAGGGGTTATTGTGGAGGAGAGAAAATGATAGCTTTCTTCCCAAAGGCTCAACCTTCAGCCACTATTGTCATCTCCAAGCAGATACAAGCAATACTTCACAGTTAGGAGGCAAGTGCTGGCAGTTTCACACCTCGGCTCCAAAGGGAGCTGACAGCACCCCTGACAAAGAGACGCTGATGCAGAGAACCATGACGCCACTGCCGAAGGCTGGGAGATGCGGCCTGTCAGCAAGCCAGAGATGCAGAATCCTTGCCAGGCAGTGCGCAGCTCAGGAGAGAAAGGTTAAGCACGCTGCCAGGTGGTGTCACTGCATTTATAAACACAGTTTAATATTCATGCTCTTCCGGCCAGCGCGACAGCCCAGCCATGCAAATGCATCTTCTCCGCATAGGCTGCAAGCCAGAGAGAGGGGAGATTAAAAAGGCAGGTGAGTCCAAGTGCACTTCAGCTGGAGTCTGCTGGCTGGAGTGGCGGCAAGTCTGAGGGCATCCAAGACTGAAGGGGAGATTGTACAAAGGAGGCTGGCTTCGCACCTGCTCGGCAAGTCCTCTTGATCAGGTGAAAACATCCGGGTAACACTTCTGAGGCAGGCTAGGCAGCTGCACTCCTCTCCCACTCCTTCTAAACAACCTGCCAAACACCTTTCAGCTGGAGGGGACAATTTCAGTCCTCTTGGCCAGAAAGTAAAGGGGAGGAGGAAAAACAGGGGGAAACAGTGGCTAAACAAGGAAGAGGAGAAGCCTGGACGAAGCCTGGGAGATACCAATGCCACCAGGTATGAGAACAAGCACAAGAATGGCAAGAAGGTGAAGACCCAGACTGCTGGACAGCCCGGGGTGGGGAGCACAGGGGCAGGTGGTGACATCCTGGCAAAGGAGAAGCAAGGCAAGCTGCACGTTAAAGGTCTGCTGGAGGCATATGGCAAGAGCCTCTCACTGAATGGCATTTCAAAGCCTTTGCAGGTAAGCAGTGTTAACTCTCTAATGTCTCTGCCTATAAGCATGTTCTTCCTCCTCTCTGCATCCCAAGCTGGGAGTCTGACATGATAGAGAACCTCAGCTCCACACGCTCAGCCCCAGGGTGACTCTGCTGCACCCCACTTTACTATCAGGTGCCAATTCTGCTAGGAAGGACATCAGCAGATTCTGCTGGCTTGGTGAGGCAGAAGGCTGTTACCCTACCTGGGCCTAACCTCAGTGGCTGCAGGTCCTCAAGCATACCTCGCTCTGCGCGGGATACTTCCAAGTCACATGAATTATATGCAAACCCCGCGCCGTGGATAGCAGAGTGGGAAGCAGTAGCCTTCACAAAGTAACTCCAAACCCTAGAAAGGTGATGACAGGTTATCTGTCCTCCAGGCTCAGGTAAGTACACAAGGCCAGGCACCAGAAGGGTGGCTGTGACTGGCAGCACAGCACTCTCCTATCACTGGCTGCTCAAAGCACACGCTGGGACTGTAACATCTTCACAGCCTCTGCTTTGACACTGCAGGTCCCTTCTCTGCAAGCTGGCCTACAGTTCAGGGAGGATGGATGGGAAGGGGACAAAGTCCAAGCAACCTGTTATTCCCACGTTGCAGGACTTCTTGTGCTTCCCTGTGAAGCATCAGGAACTGGATGCTCCTGGGAGCAAGATCCTGGACCAGAAAGACCATTTGTCAGGTTAGGAATGGCACTGACCAGGCTGCAGGAGAGCAAGTCCCAAGGATGTGCGCTCTAGACTCTCTTCCTATAGTCAAATGGAGTCAGCATCCTTTACCTCACCTGCCTGGGCACCTGTTTCAACAGTCCCCTGCTCAGAGCAGAAGATGAAGGCCTACAGGCCTGATAAGGTCTAGAAACTAAGCAATGCAAAGAAATTCACATGTGGAACATCTCCTGTGTGCTTGCTGCCAATACTTAAATGCTATTTTGTATAGACCAAGCCCTAAAACCCCTGTGAATTACCAGAATGGTGTTTATTAAAATAGGAAATGAGGTTAAGATCACCCAGATGGGCTTCCAAGCACCACGATCCAGCCCAAGTAGAAACCACTCACGTGTAATACTGCCCTAGTTAGCAGGCTAGGCTCAGGCATGCTTGGTGCTTGCTGCAGCCCCGCGGCTGGTCTCTGAGCATGACTGGGAGCTCAGGTGAAGCCAGGCACCTCTACCTCTTTGAACAGTTGTGTCAGCTGTTATGAAAAATGAACCCACTTCTGTAGCCAAGACAACTGGAAGAGCCAGGACCTGGGCGGTCAGGTAGGTTGGAATGGGTGAGTCACACTGGGCCGTCCCCAGGAAAACTGCACCAGCTGGTGGCATTGCTGGGGGCAGCCTAAGCAGCGCCTAACAGATGTTACGGAGGAGCTCATCTGGAGCAGGTTACAGCCGGTAACTGAGAAGAGACTGAAACAGGGTCCGTTTTTAATGCCGAGCTGTGAATTTCTGGCTGCTACCTCCTGTGATCTATCCTGACATGGTGCTGCAGCCTTCTAAAGGGCCTGTCCAGCAGGAAGCTGTCTGCACATGTGCCAGGCAGGGCGGCAGCACGCTGCTTTGCCATGCCTTCCAGGAGCGTAAAGAATAAACTCGGCACCAATGAAGACCCCCCAGGAGCCGTCTCTCTCACAAAGGGTCTTAATCTCTCCTTAGGCCACCACTCCACCATCAGCTCCCCATTTTTGGCCTCAGGAAAGTACAGCTAAAAGGTACCAAGTCTAACTCTGGGCCACTGCTAACCAGCCCGCAACAATTCAACCATCACTAAAGCCCAAGAGTGTTGCCACTCCCGTGCACTCAGGTCATGAGTCAGGCTCCAGAGCCACAGTAAGGAGATGTTCACCAAAAAAACCCATTCCTTTTAATCTACCTTCTGGCTCGTGCTGTTGCAGTTCGCGTTTTCAAGCTTCTGCCCACAAACACAAGAACAGCAAGCTGTAACAAAAGCGGGAATCCCCCAAGTCTGGGAGTCAGAGACAGAAGGGGAAAAAAACCACACCGAACACTGCAGGATTCACAACAACTGAGTCATGAGAACTGGCAGCTCCGAGGGCAGCCAGCACTTGGTAGGAACTTTAATGTCAAGAACCCAGCCACAAGCCTTATTCGTGGCTGTGCATTGTGAAACCTCCGTCTCTGTCGAACCTGCACTCAAACACTGCTCAGCATGTGTCTGGGATGGGTGAAAATTAGGCTAGATGGCCTCTGGAAGGCCACTCCAACCTTGTTGTCCTAGGATTCTACAAACCTTCCCGGGGTGAGTGGGAGAGGAGCGCTGTGCTGGACTGTTAGCCCTTCCTATGAACAGAATTAAATGGAGGATCACAACAGCTGAACAAGTCATAGGAGTAACTGCCCCTTCCTGCTCCATTTCAGCATAACACAGCATATGCGTCTCGGCCAAGAGGACTCTCTTGCCGCTGGACAAGCCCCTTAGCTATGCATGGCATCGTCAGATTAATTTTAGCGGTAACAACCCTGGGGTGGCTTGCAATCAGACGGGGTGGGAAGGGAGGGGCGTCCGTGGCCCAGCTGGGATTGCAAGGCTACCACTCAGTGGATCTCTGTGGCCACGTGCCTGAGGCAGTGGGTCAAAGCCCAAGAGGCCCTGGGTATCTGTAATCCCTGCAGGGGTGGCGAAAGTGCACACCACCACGGGATTATCTCCTGAAGACACAAGCACTGGGGGCTATGCCAGAGATGAACTGCTGGGGGAGTGGGGCTACCTGTTCAGCCCCTCTGGGAAGAGGCCAGAAGGTCAAAGCTCCCCTTTCACTGGCACCTCCTGTGGATTTTTCCCTCCCAAAAAGCCTTCTTATATTCCCCTAGCCCACAATCCCAGCCATTCCCCCCCACTGGCTTTTGTCTGGTGCAGCCACTCCTTTTCTGGAGACCCAGCCTACGCCACAGCTATGGACATTTGCTTTCAGGAAGCGTAAAGGAGAACCAGTTGCACTGGACTGGGGAGAGCTCCAAAGGGGCGGGGGGATGAGAACTGCGCAGCATGAGCCATGGAAAGCACCTTTTGATGACGGGGACAAGCCCCAAGGTCACATCTTACCTTCTGGGTTGGGACCGGCACTCCTCTTCCCCACTGTCCGCCTCCTGCAGCCACAGGGGAGAGAAAGAAAAAAACAAGACACATTAATTTGCTTCCAACAGGTGTACCTGCTGCAGACACCTGTCCTGCACTAGCTCAAGCTGTGGGAAGGGCTGGGAGGGGGCGGGGAAGGTCTCTCTGCTTTGGCACAGCTGCTGGGCTGCTGCACGTTTTCCATTTGGAGTCGAGCTGTTTTGAAGACACCACGGACACCTCGAACTCTCCTGTCACTCCAGGTTTCGGCATGCTGTTGTGTCATGGCCTTCTGACAGCCTTGAAGAGCATGAAGCCTGAGCACTTCTTACTCCTGAGGCCTGCTGCAGACACACGGGGACCTGCAAGCATGCCTCACAATCTAGGAGGCACGCCAAGGGGAAACCAAACCACCTGCACAGGCCCATGTGGACTGGGAAGCAGCAGTCTGACATGTTATGCCGCTGGAGGTGCAAAATTACTAGGCCCGATCCGAACATGCTGTGGAATTTTACCAAGACTCCTTACTAACGCCTGACGCAACAACTCGAGCAATCTCCGGAAATTAATTCCACTTCAGAGCATGTTTAAATGTCTAGGACCAGGTGGGGATGAGGCTGAGGCATGGAATCCACTTCATCAGTGAAACAATAAGCCCAAATCTGGCTTGAGCAATTCTGTATTGGCTAAATAGCGTCTTAATCAAACTGAGGTCTAAGATGGCATTGGCGGATCTCAGGGACAGCAAGAGATGCCTGGAGGAGGATGACCCCAGGAGAAGGGGCCCATCCGTGTCCTGAACACGTCATACCTAGGCTGGAGAGACTTAAGGGCAAGGGGGCTGCTTTGCAGCAACAGCACCTTGAGCTGAGATCCATCGCTCCCTGGACCTCGGCTCCCACGCTTATGGGGACAAGTGCACCTGGACTGAGCTGCTGATGCAGGAAGGCAGGAAAACCAGCTGCTTTTCTGCAAAAGAGGAGCTTAAACTGTGCTAAGAAGCGATGCTGAAGACTGCTTGCAGGAAGGGACCGGGTTTCACTTTAGCCTCGGTGGACCATCAGAAACGATGCTATCAGCAGTGTGCCCATGTTACCACCTTCCCTCCAGCATCACGTTTTATCTGGACGCTTCATGACATCTTACAGTCTCCCCATCATCACCACACCTACGTCTTAAGTGGGGACAGATATGGATCCCATCACCTCTCCATGCTCCTTGCCAACAGAGGCATAGAAAGACCTGTGGTTTTTAAGCAACAGGCATGATACGATGGAGTGGAGCCATCAGATTTCTGTGCGAGAGGGAACTGCAGAACCAGATGCTGCTTCCTAAGAGCCACGGCCTGAGCAGCCCAGCTCAAGAGAGCCATCAGAGCTGCATCACATGGACACACCCTGCTGCATTAACTCGTAGGGCGATTATCTAATTACACTGAAGCAGTGCCTGGAGGCACCACTTTGAGACAGGCTTCATGGTCCTAGACATACTAAGAGACAATCCCTGCCACAGGACTCATGAATTAAATGGGCCAGACTGGCAGCAAGTCGGATGGGAAGAAGAACCAGATATGAAATACTCTATGCTGGGCTCCCCACTCCCCAGCAGCCCGCAGAACAGTCGACAAACTGCTCTGCTCCAAAATGCTTTGAATGCCCGTCCCCGGGGCCAGCTCCTAGCCTCTCTCCTGTCCCCCACCAGCCTTCCCGATGACCGCTACAGAGCGCGCAGCCCACCAGTGCCCACTGTGCAGTGCCCCTCTAATGCCTCTTGGAGCTCAGCAAACGATGGTGCTGATCAGACAGCAGGTGTCGCTGGTGCACCGCGCAGCGCAGCCCCGACCCGGCTGCAATCCCAGCCTGCAGTGCAAAGCCCCCCCCAGCCATCCCCCCAGTTCTTGAACCCGCAGCACGTGACTCTGAGCCGGCTGCCCTGGCTCTGGAGGGCCCTGACTGTTGGCCTGGGTAGAGACTGCTGTGCAAAGCTTACCGGAACGGGGGGATGCCCTGCTCCTTTCCAAGCACCGTGCACGCTGTGAGCTGGCCAGGGCAAGGTCCACGGGCATTTGTCAAGCATCCACAACCGGGGACTTTAAAGAGTGATCCACAGAACAATGCAGGCAAACCCTGGTCGACCCAGGGCAAGGGCCTAGGGCGCCTGGCTCGGACGTTCCCAAAACTCACACTCTGGAGCCTTCCCTGCCTTAGCTGTGTCACTGCAGTGAGCTGGTGCGTGCATGTTTCCTTCCAAGGGAAACCAAACCCATGAGGAGGAGCGGAGTTGACCTGCGTTAAAGAGCTAGAGGTACCATACCAGCTGACATGGATGGCATGAGCAAGACATAGCACTGACCCCACTAACTGCTTCGTGGTCAGATGGCTTTGCAGGTCTTTGCCCTCCATCAGTTAGCCATCAAAGTAGTGGGAATAAAAAGCGCTCAGATGACCCCCAAACGCACTCAAATGCCTATGCGTTGTGGAATCGTATATGCAATTCTCAGAACCTGCTGGATCCCAGCAAGTCACAAAGCCCCTGACTAGCCAACCCTGTGGGTTGCCAAAGACGGGGTATGCAGCACGTGCCAGAAGGACGGTCCAAGACGCAAAGGCATCCACATGCCTGCGACAGCACGGCATGAGGGAGAGCAGCGCTTGAAGCCTGGCCCGCCTTGCCTAGAAATGCAAGCTATGCAGACAATGCTGTTTTTGGCTTGGAACGCACAGTGGCCAACTCGATACTGAAAAACAAAGAAAGAAAATCCTGGCCTTGGCAACTGCCAAGCACGACACCCCTCCGAGCAAAAGCAAACAGCGGGGACACCCTGGAGCAGGCCGACCATCCCAGCCATCTCGGCCCCATGTGGAATTCAGGCCTTGAGGGCTCTTGAAACGGGGAGATGGCTAGACATGACCCAACTGGAGACCACCTGTTGTTGCTGGCTATCAGGTGAGATGTTAGTGTTCAACATACACACAGCACTTCTCCATGTCCAGGGTGCAGCTGTTCGAGAGCCCAGGCAATGCCGGTGGGGCACACTCAGCTCCAGATACGTGCGACTCTGGGTTAGAGTCTCCCTCGAGGTCTAATCATGCTACCTGCACCGTCACTGGACAGGCCGGGGCACCGGCATGTCACTTCCTGGGCCGTGAACCCTTGAGCTCACGGATAAAGATCTGTCTTTCCTCTTTCCTTACTACCACAACTCTTCCATCCCTGTCTGCCACCCTCTTCCCTCCTTGCATGTGGGGTACCGAACGACATGTCCGTACAGCATGCGGCTCCCTGCCCCTCTCCCATCTGACCTCTTCTCCTTCAGCCAGCACTCAGTCCTTCTCACCTACCTTTTGGATCTTCCCCATCGTGCTTTTCTGTCTCTGGCTCCAAGCTCTGCACATTTCTAGCAGCACCGCTCATGCCTCCCACCAACCCCCTTTGCATCATTGCCTCTCCACCTGCTTACCTGCCACGTCAAACACTTCCTGATCCCACAGGCAGGTGGTCCTGGCCGAATTGGGAGCTCATGCCTTCTCCTGCTGCCCCAAGTGTCTTGGCCAATGGCGTTATTTTCTTACTGAGATTGCAACCTGCTGTACGCAAAGCTCGCTGAACAGCACCGACAACAGCCGGCTACAAACCAAGAGCTGCAATTCGGCGAGCTCCCACGGGAGGGCACGAGAGGCAAGGCATGAGTTCAAGAACGACCCTCGCATGTGCACTTTTGATGGTGTGGAGCATTTCAGGAGACACCGCTGCCATTTCTCACCATGTCCCCCATGCCTACGAGGCATTGCTGCACGGCATCCAGCCACCAGCTAGAGCTCGCCGAACCTGGGGAAGCAGAGGGCGCGATGACTGCACAGGGAAGGTCTGCATAGCCACCTGCATTGGAGCATGCTACCTGCCTGCCTCAGCTACAGACCGCAGCGAGAAGCACAGGGCCCTTCACACATGCTTCCCTGTTCCCTCTAGCAGGACGTCATAACCAGAAAGTAGCTGCAGGGGCCATGCAGGCAGCCCACAGGAGGTGGGCGGTGTGACGTGCAGCTTCTTGGTGTTCTTGCAAGCCAGACCCTTGCTCCAATTTCGAGCGGCTCCCATGGAGCCTGGAGCTGCACTGATGAGCTCCAGAGGGAGCCAAGCCCTGCCTTCCTCGGCCAGAAGAATGACAGAAGCAAGGGCCCCTGGGGGGAAATGGGAGGAAAGTCTCATGGCGCATAACTAGGCCACGATATTAAAAGGCAGCTTAAAGTGAAATATGGAGATTCCATCTTGCCGCCTTTCCGGGGATGCTTTGCATGTTCTGCTCTGCATTAATCCAGTTTTCGCTTTGATCTTCTGCCAAGCGCCTGTCAGGAGCAGGGCAAAGGAGAGGGGAGAAAAAACGCTACTTAGCATTATTTCGTGGCACATCAGCAGCACTGCTGCCCCTACAAACCACCCTCGTGCAGACCGATGTGGCGACAAGCACGTTGTTCAATTTGCATCCCGAAGTTCAAGCACCAGAGTCTTTTGCCTGCGTTTCCGAAAGCCCTGGCAGATTGTTCAGGTGAGACGCACCATTTCCACTCCCTGCTTCCCACACCTGCAGTTTCCTTTGCTATAGGAAGCTGCGGCAAGGTTGTTTGTCTCCGTGCAATTTACATTTCTGAACTGTGAAACACGGTCCACGTTTCCGTCCCTCTTTGCTATGGCAACGGTCCCCCGAAGCAACCTGGAGGAATGATGTGCTCCTGTGATGAGTGAGCTGCCATTGCTAAAACTATTGAAAGACCATGAATCAGAACCATTTGCCAGCAATAAGCAACAGCATTAACCTTTCCGTTGGCATTATGCATCTCAGCCCTCACACATGGATAAGTGGTAGTTTCATGCATATGAAGCAGTTGTGCAAACGTCAGCTCCGTACCAAGGCCAGGTGTCCATCCACAACACCTTTTACAACAGCTGTGACTGACACCATGGACCACTGGACTTAGTTACGCTACCAGCACCCCCTGGATGCAACCAGGGATGCTTTGGGGCTCGGCGAACCTGACTTCTGCTGCAGGTTAGCTGCAATCACTTCCCATGAGAGCATCTGGGTCTGCCGTTACATCTTGCAAACCCTGTGGTGTTTTTACATGGGGTCAGCGAGACACAAGGGAACTTATCCTGGAATGAAGTAAAGGTCAGTGCACCTGCCACATCCTCCCGCTGGTACCACATGCTTCATTGGTGGCTCCCCAGGTCATTGTGCCTCCTTACCAATATGTCCTCTGCTGCTCCAGGCCATCCAGGAGGTCACTCCCTGCCTTAGCTGTGGTGCAGGGCCGCCTGCTGTCCTCTGGGCTCCCAGCTCAGAGCTCACACATGTGTGCGATG